CTTGGGGGGGAGGAGTGTAACGCATCGACCTACTTCTCGCCTAACTCCTTAGCTAACAACCTAACACTCAAAGGCATTCGTCGAGATTGCTCTCGATAGTTATTTGGGTTACGAGTGAGTGAAGGTTGAGTTGGGAGAGAAAGGGTTGGGTTGGGAATTCCAAACCTCAACCAATAGGTTTGGGAAATTCCAACCCATCAAAGTGGAATGTTGAAGGTTGGATTTCCAACCAATCAGAAACTGCCAATTCAGTGTAACAATCTACTCTATCTTAAAAACAACCATTCAATGGTTCTAGGTTGGGTTTTTCCAACCCAACTAATTGCCACATAGGCTCCAAGCCTAGGAACCATCCCACCATGGAAACCATGGTTGGGATAGTTCCCCAAGGGGTGTATTGAGGGGGTCTGAGCTGGGCAAGCTCATTCTCAACCTCCCACTCCAACTAAACAATTGGAAATGGGATTATTTGGCTAAGTCATTTTGGCTCTCTCACAAGCTTTCCTACACTACTATTCCAAGTGTTTTCCATCAAAGGCATCAAGAAGATCTTCATCTCCAAGGCTATTAAAGCTAGTTAGAGCTACTAATTTGTATGGAAATAATATAAAAGCCTTGTAACCGCCATTATAATAGGCTTGGGCATTACAAACAGGGTCGACAGGGTCAACAGGGTAGACATGGTCAACCAGGCCAACTGGGTGAATAACAGCCGATCTGGGGGACGTTAGTAACGGCGAGTCAAGCGAGTCAAACGCGTCAAACGAGTCAAGCGGGTCAAACGCGTCAAGTGGGTCAAGCGAGTCAAGCGACATGACGATGTTGAGATCCGCCTCGTCGGGCTCCCACGCGCCGGAGTCGCAGACCATGGGCGCATCACGCGCCGCCTGCGGCAGCGCCTGAAAACGCGGCGCCGACGAGCTGAGCGGCGCGGCAATCGGACCGCAGGGAGGCGCCGATGACGAGAAATATGACGACGACGATGACGACTCGTCGGACGGAGTCATGCCGCGGGTCGCTGTGGGAGATGTGTGTTTTGGAGGTTGTCACGGTGACGGCTCGGTAAATGACTGAGTGGTCGAAACCTGCTGGCGTTTTCTGAGGAGAATGACTCTGAAGGAGCGCATGACTGACAGTCCGACTGTGGAGTGGAGTTCTTATCACAGTCCGACTGAGCCACTGAGCCTGTGCTACCACCCGTCATCGAAGCGGGCTGAACTCACAAACTTGTGGCTCCTCATCCCCCGCAAGCAACCATCGGGGGAAAGCGGCCGGGACGGGAAAGGGGTGGGGTGGGGGAGGAGGGGATCGGTTGGGGGGTTGATCTGGGAGGCGGAGTTGGGAGGGGCTCTCGGGTCGAGATCGGCGGACGATTTTGTAGATTCGAGGCGTATGGTGCGGAATCTTGCGGATGAGAGGCGGCGGTGATGGAGATGCGAGATTCAAGAGCTTCGCGTGATCGTAAGATATGCTGTGCCTCCTTCGCGATAAACACGTGAATCGCCCTCTCTTCCTCCTTTCCCCCCCCTACCTCCCCCTCTCTCACCCCACCCCCTCTCCCACCCCTTCCCTCTCCCCCTTCTCTCCTCCCTTCTTCTGGAACCCCTTTCCTTCTCTTTCCGCCAGCCATTCTGTGTCGCCGCGATTGTCGCGTTGGTGACGGAGAAGAGAAGGCTGACTGCCACAGAACAAAGTCTGTGACGATAATTATCGTTTGGTCGAGGGATGCCGCCAAAGCCACCGACGTGTTTGTCCACGACGAGTCAGACAGATCAGAGCGCATCCAACCAGTTCCACCTGAATCACGTGGCATCAGGCCCTCAGATTGGTTTTGGGCTAGTCTGAAAATTCAGAGTTGGTACATGACTTCACTATGAAAATCAGAGTTTTTCGTGCAGAAATACATACTAGAAAAATTGCATTTTTCCTGGTTTTTCTCAAAAAAGGCTGAATTTTCAGAGCTCACTTCGAAAAAAGGCTGAAAGATCAGAGTATGGGGAAAGTTTGTCTCACTTTCTGCCTCTTGTTATCGTTTGTGGTCTGTGTTCGCTATCCTTGGTTCCAGCTGGCCTTGATGGTGGCAACAGGCACGTGAGCAGCTCTGCCTCCCTGCCATCTCAGCTCACAACCCTGCCCTTCAACTGAGCACTTCCTGATTCGGCGAAAACCTTACCGAGATTGCGGCTCATGCATTTCAAAAGTGCAACTTGGCATTTGGTTTCGTCGGTTCTATTCTTCGCTTCCTCCAAACGAAGCCCACGAGATTCTCTTCCAAACAATTCGCACACAGCCAGCGGGCAACCCAACAAATTATTTTACAACAATTATTGAAACGTGCGGGGTCATGTGGAGACTCCCCATTTCACTAACAATGTGCAATGCTGAAAATCAGCCTTGACGTGGGACTCCGCTCTGCAGCACATCTGTGCTGGTGATGTGTATGGGAGGGAAGGAATTTTCGTGTACACTGTACACACCCCTTGAGAAGTTTTCTGACGGCCGTGCGGTCAATGTTGGCCGAGCTTGTTTTTTCCGATCTTGTTGGAAGATTGTTTATGGACGAGGCAGATTTAAGTACAGTTCCCAGATGGTCAAACCAACTGACGCTGACCAACAAGAAATATATTTGAATGTTCTGTAGACAGTGAAGCACAGCCAAGCAATCACAAAAAGGACGAGTGTACTTCGCTTGTCCTTCCATCAGGTTGTGGTTCCGGGGTGCACGGCTTGTTTCAAAACCCAATCAGTCCGTGCCCGAACAAAGCCGTGAAGAAGTCCCAGACTGCGGTTTGGAAACACGTGACGGTCTGGATTTATGTAAGAGCGTCCTAGTCTCTGCCTGCTGTCCGCTGAGAGTCACCGCATCTGGGTTTCTCAAACTCCACGTCCAAAATCTGGGACCTCCGCGGGTCAATCGTGACCGGGGTATCAATCGGGGTGCAGCCTGTAATGTTGTTCATTTATGGGCAACTATCTGTATAGACTTGGCTCTGCTTCCCACGTTTTCGCTAGTCCGTGCCATCATTTACCATGAAGAGTCTCGCCATGAATCAATCGCAAGGGTTTCGCGACTGTTTCTGTGCTCAATAGCTGTGTTCGCAATGCTTCGCATGCGGTGCTTACGAGCGATTTTCTGTCGGCATCTTTCCACAACCATGCTTCATGGGGGACCTTTGGACAGTCGTAAAGAAGCACTCAAGCTCAATCAGCAATTTGTTGAAGATCTCTTCCGAGGCTGTGTCTCACGAGCTCAAGCAAAATCGCACATCGCGGAAAAGGAAGAAGCACATTTCAGGGGTCCGTAGGTTTTTCTACGAAAAGGCATACCAAAAGTCCCATACAGTACACAAAAGACCCCAAACCACATGTGACATTTTGGGTTTTCCCCTTATACACTTTTCGGCCTTTGGATGCTCGCACCGCACATTTCATGCAATGTGTCGCACGTTTTCGACGGACCGCACATTTGGGATTCCCGCGCCATTGTAAATTCCCCGCGCCGCACATTTTTCGCCATTCGGCGACCACTGCTAATTGGGCTCGTCTGTTGTGTGTCTACGCAATTAGGAATGTCAAAGTAAGATACACTACCGTCATGCTCAACCCACATATACTGCATAAAATACTCTTCAATAGTGTTGTGTGGTCACCATCACCAAGTTGGTCATCGCCCGTTCACACATAATCAGCGTCAATTGCGTGTCACACGGTGCGACAAGCCACTGAACTGTCCCGTGAACCCAGCGAGTCAAATCCACTCATGTTCACTCGGTCAGCAGGAACCTGTTGAGCAGCATGACACGCTTGTCCACATAAGACATGCAAATGTGCACCACCCTCTGGATGCACTCTACGTCCACCACAGCATACCTTGTCCTCACACGACCGGGTGTCAACTGCAAGCAAGTTGTCATCGGGCACGTGCCCTCCACCTCGTAGTACTTCACGTACACGTGCCTCCCCATCTCTCCATCCACCCCCTTTGCCCTGAAGATGCATAGGCACCTTGCGTACCACTCTCCCTCGTCTGGGTTAAGCACGGCCACGTCTGAAAACCACTTCTCTGATGGGCTTGCCTTCACAAACGTACCCTTCGGCACAAGCTCCCCGCCTCTTGTTCAGGGTATCGCCACAGCGGTGTGCACCTGCGCATGACGGTCAACATGAGGGCAATTCTGGTGACTGTACCCACAAGTACCAGGACTCTAGCACGAGCGGCCCACGATAGTGGTCCACATGCCACACGAAAATGCATAAAAGCCGGCCTCACCGCGATGGATGGCGACGGGAGGCCTGCCGCCCTCATGCACCCTGCGAGTGCGTCCATGTCGGACCCATGTGCCTCGCGATACACCCACATAACCGCGTCCAGGTCCTCGTCCACATTGGCCGAACGTGATTTCTTCGTCAGGACGGGTTTGCGCGTCCGTACAGCCTGTGTGCACACGGATTGTGATACAGTCGCTGAATGATTCCATGAGGTTACCGCACTCCGACACAATACGTCATGCTACATGGTGTCGCAGACTGCATGCCGTGTACTGCAACTACCTCGCGCAGCGCCGTCACATACTGCCTGTTGCCGCCTGCGTCCGCGGACACCTCCCGCGCTATCTCGCGCTGCACCTCCTCCTCGATAATGCGGCGTGGAATATCCTGCCAGTTGCTTCCTCGCACCGGCACCTTCACTGTGCCCTTGTGTGTGTGCTCCCATAGGTTCGTGGATGTCTCGTGCGTCAACCCACGCATAGGGATGCCGGCAATCAGGTGCACAATCTGGTGCACCTTCGGGATGTTCCAGCCTGAGATCTGGTTGGGAAACGCAGCGACGATTGCCGCCATCATTCTGCACAGCGACACGTGAGGCGGATATAAGTCCGGATGTAATGGCACATCACATCTTCAGCACATTTCGTTGCACACCACTCCCCATATTACACCTACATATTCCTACAATCTGAAAGTTTAGTGCACACCAGGGTGTGCACGAATCACGGAACTTACGTCACTGCCATTGCTCTGACGTCGTCCAGGGTGTCGTCCGTGTGCTTTGTCACGCCGACAAGCGCCTTGTAGAAGCTGGCGTATGTCACAAACGCCGCCACCTCCCGTTGCCGTTTCTCCTTCTCCGCTGGTTTGCTCCTCGCCATACTGTCGGCAATCAGCAAGGGCATCACCTGCATCATCCCCCTGTGCTCGAAGGCTGCGTAGTTCGCCCCACTGCTAAACCATGTGGCCCCTCCTGGTATGCGCACCACACTTGCGCGCGTGTCCTTCTTTTGCTCCTTGCGGCGCCTGCCAACCCACCCATCTACGGTCAGCCACGTGCATTGCATGTTCATCACGCGGCAGCTAGAAATATCCGGATGAGAGCGTACACACCTCTCAAATTCCCTTCGCTCTGGCTTGCTCTTCCCCACCATGAAGCACTTGCCCATGCGTGGGAGCATGCCTGCGTCCAGGACGTAAAGAAGGTCCGCGGCGCATGCGAGGAACACGTTGCCCCATGTTGTCTCTGCGAAGTTCCACCTCTCCAAGTAACACTGCCGCTCATGTACATTGACACACTAAGATGGGCATTGACACACGCTGAAGTCCAGGGTTTCTTAGTGTGGTACTCGGTTCTCACCTGCACCGGGTGCGTCGACCATCGCTTTTTGATTTTCTCGGCCGCCTTAGAGTCTGGGGCTGAGTGGATTGCGGCCACTACTCGTCTATGGAGCTCTACAGTCCGCACCACTGACTCCTGCGTAATGTCGGACAGATGTGTTTCCTTGGTGTAGCACGACGAACACGGCCGGTGCGATCCTTGCTGCATCGTTGCTGTGGATCTTGACGACTCTGGGTAGTCATCAAGCTGTCCGAAAATACATGGAAACGCCTTGACCACCTTTCCCGTAGCATCGGTGACGTAGAACCATCGAAGCTCTGCACTGCACGTGTCGCCACACCAAATGTCATTTACGTGTCTCATCCATCATACTATGCTTGTAACATACACCGCTCCCCTTACCCTCGGTGTGCCCTGAGTAATGGCTCAAAAATCACTTCCATGCACGCCTGGAATACTCGTGTCTTCTCTGTTGACGACGCCCACTCTGGCGGGAATGGCAGCACTCCCGCCATAAGGTGTCCCGGCTCCTGCCAGCGTAGCGCTTCCGGGATGTTGTATAGACTGATGAGTACCGGCCACGCAGCAAGCCTGCCGTTCATGGATGCGTGCGTGCTGTCGCTGTACACGATCACCCCCAGCACAATGCAGTCTTCGTCTGGCATGCTGGCCTGTGCACGTTGAAAGACCGGTATTAGGACTAGCATAAATTGATCCGGGCGTTATCTTCTACAATGGCCATACACCTCACCTGCGCTTCGTGGCACCACTTCCCAGTGTCCGGCGTGCTGTAATGACGTACGTCCTTGGTGTCCTCCTCGTCCGTGCGCGGATTGGTGACAAACCCCGCGATGTGCTGAAATGCCCGTAACAACTTCTTCACCAGCTGCCAAACACACTCCCGCTAAGTGTTAAGGGATGAGTATAACAAGCAGTTAATCTATACATCGTCATTCCATGTATGCGGAGTGACTCTGGTTTTTTCTCACCAGCTCCGTGTCCCGGTAGTGCAACAGCAGCGTGCACATCCTCCCTCTTGGTCCGTAGCACTTGACGCCCTTCGTCTTCCATGGCACCTGGTCAACTGGTGCCCTTTCGCGCCCAAACCGTCTAACATCCACGAAATTGAGCCACCTCCGCACGTCCCTCAAAGAGAACTTAGGGTTCTGGAAAATGTTGAGCAGTCTATTCACCTCTCGTCGCGACAGATCGGCTTCGCGGAAGAAGATGTACAGCTCTATGAGATTATTGAAGCCGTCGTCTATATGTGGCATAACACTCTCCTCCCCATCGCTCTCCTCAGTGGGAACTATGAGATCGTCTGGTTCATCGACAACTGCAGCAGGGTCCACTTCTCCGCCCGACGCCGAAGCGCCTCCATTGTTGTTTGTATAACGCACGGGTGTTTGGGGCCTGGCTCCGCGTCTGGCGCGGAGCGCGTCCCGATACGCCTCCACCAGCCGCTGGGCACGGGAGTGTTGAATCTTGCGCTTGCATTTAATATTGTTCGACACATGCGACTGGAGTGTGTTGTCGTCAACATGCTCCAGTCCGCACGCCTCGCAGACGTTGCCCAGCATTGCTAGAGCTTGTGCTAACCCTAACTTCTGCCTACCAATAAGGCTGTTCGTCCATCCGAAGGCACAATATGTGCCTGAATGTTTGCAACTATTGCAGGTCTCTCCCAGCTCGGTTCCAGCGTATTCATTGCCGGTAGAAACGAGGTTGGTCCATATGACATTTGGCACGTCAGTTGACCTGGTTGATTGAAACTAAAGCACGGTGTGTAGAGGTCAATTTGACGCCGGGCCCGGTATTAGTCTGCCAGATGGGCCGTACATGTACTGTACTTCCCACTCAGTTGCTAAGTTCTACTTATGATCTTGTGTTTAGCCCACCATTCGTTCTGTCCAACTGTGGCCTTCTATGTTCGCTATGGAACAAACCCGCTAAAAGTATCACTCACTCCATTCCGGTTACAGTACTATCCGCGGAATCTAAGTCCCTGGTCGGGGGGGGCCAATGTACACTGGTCTCATCCGGGCCACTCATCCCAGTTGTTCCCCCTCCATGCGGTCGATAGTGGCGCCCTCTGTCCGAATGACAATACTCCATGTGTCCATGTCACGTACGCAAGTTCACAACGTTGGTTAGGGTATTGATTACGTGGCGGATAACGTCCGCGTGGGTAATGGCACTGTCCGTCATTAGAGCCCGTTAATCCGTCTCGCTTCCTTCTGTTATAACTCGCGCACCACATGTGCAAAGCGCTGAATTCCCGCCACCATGGCTGAAATGGCCCTTTTGCTCGAGGAGTTACAGGCTCACCCTCAGGACGTATTCTGCTTTGTGGAAGAAGCCATCCTGCCCACCAAGCTGCCCTTCCGCATTTCTGGTGATGGCCGACTCGACCCGCGTCCCGACTGGCACCTCAACATTGGCTTTCTTTTCAATGCAGCCGGCACCGTCATGTGTCCACCGCTGGTAATGTTTCGCCTTGAAGACGAGCTTGCGCAGGGCATAGAAAACCCGGCCGGTCATCCCGTCTTCGTGCGCCACACCATCGACGGAACAGTCACCCCCGATGTGCGTACTGTCATGCATTATCTCGAGAACCAATGGCTACACCTGTTTACGACCGCTGTGACACCCCTACTGACTATACTTCGCACTCGTTGTCTTGCTCCTCACGCAGATATTCAGCGAGTACATCGAAGCGTTGAACGGTGTCTCGTACTCCACGGACGACCACGTCATTGTCCTTGTAACGAAGGACTCCCACGCTACGACAGACATTTCCGCGATGGAAACGACGGAACATGGTTTCCGTGTCCAAAACTTGAGCAACCTCCGTATCGTTCACATGCACGGCACTGCACCATGGTGCATCCATCCCGGCCTGTGTGGGATCGTGGAGTTGTGGAGGACGCTTTTTCGTGGATGTTACCTGCGACATTTGATGCGGACTCAAGAGTGGCACGACGGCTCTGAGTTCCGGCTCCCGCCCCTGTTACACATGATTCGATGGATGGGGGCCTCGTGGTCAGAAGCCACGCCTGCGTCGGTCCATCTTAGCTGGTGGCGCGCTGGATGTGTGCCAGCATCATGGCGACTCGCCATCCGCGCGTACAAGAACCCAGTACTTAGCGTCCTGTCAGAACCACTGGTGTTGGAGCTGGGTCAGCTGCAGTGGCTAATAGACGAGTTCAGGCCTCGGGGCGAAGGCCTCATGCATGCTACAGATTTTGCCCATTGCGAGCAGCTCCTTATACCCCCACGCGTTGAGCGTGTCGGTAAAGAAACGCCCGCCTCTGTGGAAGATCCCGTCATAACACTGAACACTCATCCTGGCCCGCTATTCAGTGACAGTCGTTGTCGCAGGCATCTAGCACGCGTGGTCTCCGAACTACTTGTTCGTCAAGCCATCTCTCTCGGCATACAAGTGCGAGACGCGCCTGAACGGTTTGGTGCGTCGAACGCCGAAGTGGTTAGTCGTCTTCGCCGTACTCCTATTAAGCGTCCCCGAAAGTCTGCTGCGACGGTCATCTAAGAACGTCGATGTCGCTCGGTGCTTGACATGATGCTGTTAATGTCGCTACGATAGCTAGTTAATGTGCTTTCACTAGTGTGCCATGAATCATGTAATAGAGTGTGTTTGACGCGCTTTCAGCATGCGGCACTACGATTGTGAAGGACCTCTCCAAAATATCATTCGGAAACATCTCGTTCTGCTCCGCTATGTCTCATATTTAAACATTGTACCGGGACAGTGTAAGACGTAAATTCGTGGATAGGGTTTGGTGGCCACACAGGCACCCGAAACCATTCTTCCGCTTTCAAACACAAGATCTTCATATGATGGCATGCAGCCGCAGGTTTGCCAACGCGGCTGTATTTCGTTTTTATCATCTGGCGTGCAGTACCGTGTACGTCACATCACATGCTAATGAACAAATGACGAGTGCAGTTTTAGCATGACACGTGCGACGCCCGGACGGAGCTGCTTTTCCGCGCCAAAACATCGAATCTGGATTTGGCGCGCAGTGTGACACAGTGGTTGCCATGTACATCTTTTGAGTTTATCTCAACACACAGACGCAACCATCTGCGCGCACTCCCGTGCCTAGTATATTCTTCCGTTTGTTCGTGTGGAACTCATTTGAGGTTTGAAAATGAAAATGCGGATCTATCCGCCTCTTAGCGTCATGAGTCCTGTTAGTGTGCTCGGATTCTCCTTCTCCAAGCAGCTTAGTTAGCGTCATAGCCTGCAAGGGCACACGATGAACATACAGCATATGCTCACGCAGAGAGGCAACTCTTCCGGTGCCGCAAGTACACTGACAATTGTGAAGACGTCTGGAGTGCGCTGTCAGCGGAAAGTGAAGAACGAGCCCCGTGCTGAGCGAAGGGTACAAGCGGCGGCCAGCGGCGTAACTGTTTCTAGATCAGCAACACCACCGCCACCGGATGACGTTGTTTCTCACCTGCGAAACCCCACCTATCAGCGCGATTTTCAGACGTTGGCGCTGTACGGTCCCCATGGAGTGGGATGTCAGCTGACTGCCCAAGACGCTCTCACCCTCGCGGACGGCGAGTGTCTGGCGGACACCGTTGTAGACTTCCACAACATGTGAGTGTTCCAAGAACTGCACGACTGCATGGTTACTAACTGGATTTTGTCGTCACTGATTACGCGACTCACACGGGTGTTTTTTATTTCAGCCTTCTTAACATTCGTCATCCGAGGCTCGAGGGTGGAAAGACATGGTTCCCTCTTGATACGAAGGCCTTCGTTTACTCGACATCACTGAACAAGGCATGGCCTCTTGGGCATGCACCATGTATCTTCGCGCAGGATTACCTTGCCATCCCTGTCTTTTACGAGTAAGTATTGGTTGGAGTAACGTTGTATAAATCTTACGGTTGTGATGATGCTTAAAAAAAGTCCTGAAACACGACTCTAATTACGTCCGTTTTTAATATGTTTCAGAGGCCACTACTCCCTCGTGATCGCCATGAACCTTGCCGGCATGGTCAGCGGCAAGCTTTCTGAGACAGTAGAGGACAACGTTCAGCTGGTGCATTACGATAGCGCGTCGTTGCACACCAAGAAACCGGAAGTGATGGAAGGCGTCAAGAAGTGAGACATGCTAACGCTGGCCGTTGTCGTTGTGGTAGTTATAGTATTAATTGTTCTAACATCCTAACCGTCAACGATCTATGCAGGATGTTGCTTATGCTTCACACAGCTCAGATTCCCACTGCTGACCGGAAGACGGCCGCGAACAGCCTGGACCGTGCCGAAATCACGATAATGGATGTGAGTACAGCGTACATGCTGATGGAGCTATGTGCCTTCTGGTGTGCGTACGTGTGCTCACGTTCCGTCTTGCGCTCGGTGTATGTGCCGTTTGGCAGCCTGAAGAAATCCCGACCCAGTCGAACTCTGTGGACTGTGGGATATACGTGTGCATGTATCTTCACGCACTGGTGTCGTCTGGCTTCACTATCATCAAGCGGTGGATGATGTTCTACGGAAAGAAGTCGCGTACCTACAGGCGGCAGTTACGGGAGGAAGTGTCGCTGCATACGACGGGTGACCTTGTGGTCAGGGATTTTGGTGAGGGCGTAGAGGTTCCACTGCAGCCACTTCCCCAGTTGGGTGAGTTTGGGGCCGTAGTGTTTCCCAAGGAAGACGATGTGCGTACCGACCTGGCAAGGCAGTCCGGCATGGTAACCCGGATGGAGCTTGGGGGTTACGTGGTATGCGTGGCGGTAACAAGCCTAGCACGCGCGTGTGGGATATCGGAGGAGCAGCTGCTAAGCGGTGCAGCCCACGAGCTCCAGACCTACGGGACTCCTCTACTGTCGTTGTTGACGTCACATAACCAGGTGGATCACGCGGCATCGATGAAGACGCTCGCCAGCTCTATCCATGCTACACCATGCCCGCTGCCGGTGCCATCGTCATTTCGGCCTAAAGTCGATGTTGCCTCTCCTGGTCAAAGGCCCGAGTCACCACCTCAAGCCGTGCCCACGAAGGAGGAATCCGAGAATCCTACGACTCCAGTAACACCGGAAGCACCGGGCAGGCCTTGTCGGACTCGAAGGGCTAGCAGTCGTCTGGGAGGAATGGAGGAATCACGCACAGTGCGTAATATCAGTATGCAATCCGCGAACGGCAATCGTCCAGCTTCAAGCCGGTGGACTGGGGTGAGCTGGTGTCCCCGTGGCCGTAAGTGGGGGGTGAAGATGGTGTGCGGACCCGGTACGGGACAACAGATCAGACTTGGTGCATACAACGTGGAGGACAATGCGGCATATGCCTATGCCGCGGCTGCGTACGTGATCCGGCGCAAGGATCACATCCCGCACATGAAGGCGCTGACTGATACAGAGATGGCAGTGCTGGATGGGTGTGTCAGATCGGACGTGAGGCACCTTGTGAAGGCTCGTCTGTGGTGGAGGTGGCGTCAGTGGAGGACAGCAATGGCAGAAGTGGGCATTGCACCCGGGACTCCATTCCCTCTCGAAAATGGAGGTTCCCGCTCGCCTCCTATCAGCATTGGTGATGACGAAG